TCCACGTGCATTTCTGGACCGTCCGTTCTGGGCTCGGGGTATTTTCGTAATTGAACCGAAATTAGGGTAAAATCACTTTATAAGAAGGAGATTAAAACCCTAATCAGGAATGAGACTTTGAGCAGCCGACTTTTGCAGTTCTTGGAGAGTTTTTGGTGAGATCCAAAAAGCTCAACAAGTTCTAAGTCTCGTTTTCTCGAAGTGCAAAAACCGAATAAAGATTCGAGTCCTAGCAGACAAGTTCCAATCGTTAGAATCCATCCCGAGGTGTGGATACGTGTAGAGGGCGAGGTAATCTTCCTCCCTAAGTGATCGGACGCTCTCTTCGATTGATACAGGCCCCAGATCGATTGAGGTAAGCGTTCTAACGTTTCTACGATTCATTAGAAGCATGGTTCTAGGGTTTATTAAATTTTTATTTTATATCCTATGCGCAAACCCTAGAATCGATCTCTTAGGAATTAGATTCGCTCATGAGATCCCAGGAAACCCCAACACCAACGGCATAATCACTGGCGTCACACATGATCTCAAATGGTAGATCCCAATCTGGCGGTTGAATGATGGGAGCAGATGTCAGGGCTGTCTTCAAGGTCTGGAATGCAACGTCGCAGTCAGCTGTATAATCGAATGTAGCTTCCTTGCAGAGAAGGTCAGTGAGGGGTTTGGAGATCTTTGAGAAGTCCTTAATGAATCGCCGGTAGAAACCCGCATGGCCGAGGAAACTGCGGATGCTTTTGACATTGCAAGGTGGAGGCAGTTTCTCGATTACTTCGATCTTGGCTCTGTCGGCTTCGATTCCTCTTTCTGAAATTTTGTGTCCCAGAACGATGCCCTCACGAACCATAAAGTGGCATTTCTCCCAGTTGAGTACAAAATTAGCCTGTGAGCATCTGTCTAATACTCGAGAAAGGTTCATCAGACACACATCAAAGGAGGGCCCATGGACAGAGAAATCATCCATGAACACCTCCATAATGTCCTCGATGACATCCGAGAAGATAGCCATCATGCAACGCTGAAAAGTGCCAGGGGCGTTACAAAGTCCAAAAGGCATACGTCGATAAGCAAATGTACCATATGGGCAGGTAAAAGTAGTCTTTTCCTGATCAGAGGGATGTATAGGGATCTAAAAAAAAACCTGAGTACCCATCGAGGAAGCATAAGTATGAATGTAGAGCAAGTCGCTCGAGCATCTGATCGATGAATGGTAGTGGAAAATGATCCTTCCTTGTATTGGCATTAAGTTTTCTGTAATCAATGCACATACGCCATCCTGTGACAGTCCTTGTCGGTATTAATTCGTTCCGATCGTTTTTAATGACTGTCATCCCGCCTCTCTTTGGTACCACCTGCACAGGACTAACCCAAGAGGTATCGGAGATAGAAAAGATGATACCTGCGTCTAGAAGCTTCATAACTTCTTTCTTGACGACCTCTTGAAGCTTTGGGTTGAGGCGACGTTGATGTTCAATGGAAGTTTTCGTCTCATCTTCAAGATGAATCTGATGCATACACAAAGATGGACTGATGCCTTTGATATCACCGATCGTGTATCCTATCACTTTTCTATATTTGCGCAGAGTTGCTAGCAAGAGATCGACTTGGGAGGAATCCAAGTCAGCGTTAATAATAACCGGGTATGTGGATTAGGGACCAAGGTATTCATACTGGAGTCCTTTCGGAAGAGGTTTCAATTCAAGATCCGGTGCACAGTCTGGATTCCAATCATCGGACCTGGGAGAGGTTAGGACTCTAAAGATAGAGCCAGTCAAGGGATCGAAAGACATACCGGGGTCGGTGGAGGCTAGAGGGTTGGTGTGCATGGAAGTTGGACTAGGTAGGGTATCTGAGGTGTGACACGATCGGGTGATGTCTGGAGACGCGATCTGTGGTGTTGAGCAGGGAGAGCGACACGATCGTGTATCGCAACAGACACGATCGGGTGAGATTGCTGAAATTTGTCGGGTGTTGAAGCACCATGACACGATCGTGTTGACTGAGAGACGCGATCGGGTTGTTTTTCGGAAAAGAGACGCGATCGGGTTATTTTTCGGAACTATCCGAGGAGTTGACACGCCAATGACACGATCGTGTCTAATTCGAGATTTCCTAGAAATTCATCATGCTCTAAAATGTGTCCGTAGATCCACATCTAGTCTATAGCGGCGTAGATGCTATCCTGCGAAAGAAGATTTAGTGCTAAAGGATCATCACGATGAAATTGGTGTATTACCTTTTCGGCTAGAGGTCCCAGGATATCAATGAAACAAGCAGATTCTGTAGATGACGGTTGCTTGAGGGTTTTGTCTAGAGTGAATTCCACCGTCTCGTCACCAATTTTCATGGTAAGGCGACCTGCTCGAAC